GCAACGTGGATTACACACCAACTTTGAACGTGGAGTTGTCTGCTTTAGGCACGGTGGGATGCGAGTGGTTATTTTGGCGTTTGAATGTTAGTGCGCAGAGATGCGCGAAATGGAACGCGCAGAGATTACGGGAAGAAGCAGTCGACAAAGCCGAAAATAAAACTCTCCCCGGCAGCGGCGAAGGAGGTTGGGTTAGGAGGAATGCATGTCCGAACGAGTTTTCGCAAATGCAACCATTGCTGGCTCTCATGAAGCAGCTGATACGGCGATCAACCCAGCTGATTTTACAAGTTATCCCAGCCACGCACTACTTCCGGCAGTGTGCCGGCGTCATTAGCCTCAACTCGAATAAAGGCTCAGCCAGGAGTTGATTATAATCCGCCGACGGTTCCGCGTTTCATGCGACCATACTTCTAAGTTGCGGACCCAGTTATAGTATCGACAGAAGGAACTCCTTCGGGCCCATAATTTCGACCAGTGCCTTTAAACAAGCACGTTTGGGATGCGCCACATACGATACGTATTTTCTGAATTGCCAGGTCAGCTGAGAGCGATTCCGATTTGTATCCTGAGCTGTGCGCATAGTAAATGCCAGCCCTGGTCCCTTTGTCATCACCTTGCATAAAGCGTATTTAGACGCTCTCCAGTGGTCCCTTTTGCGCATCCACCGTCCCTCCCCCCCCTCCTCTAAGATTAGAGGAAGGCTTCCACGTAGAATTTGCTACCCTCGCGTTAATCAATCGGATAAGGTGTGAGGCAGTAATTGTTGGACGAGTGTAAGCCCATGGAAGATATGATACGATGAGATAAGAAGGTGCGGCTGCTTGATAAGAGGTGCACTCCAGAATGAAAACGGGACGATAACGATAACGGTATCATATCTAGCACGCTCTTATCGCACCCCTTTCCACATCGATAAGTCTTGGTTTTTGCTGAACGGAAGTGGATTTCGGCGCCTTATCACTCCGTTGATAAGGCGCCACTGCCACTGAAACTTCACGTGTTGTAACATTGGGCAGGACCTCTATCCACTCCAATACATAGCTTTCCTTATCGTTCCCATGAAAATTATCGTGACCACTTCCTTTAAGTCATAGACACGAGGCTGGAATACTTTCGATGGGTCTGACCCTAAGGACCTCCAAAAAGGCTGTTTCCTACGAGGGCTCAAGGATATGTCCGCGGTTTTTGCAGCACAACTCCATACTATTTTGTTCGCCCCGACGTATTGTTCTGGTTTCTTGAAGAGTTTTATTTTACAAAACAAAACGTTGTAGGAGAAATTGAGCTAAACAATAAACAACAACAGAAACAACGCGCACGCTATGCTGATAGCGCTCACTTTGCTAGAATTTTCTCCGGTTTCAAGGACATTTTAAAGCAACAGTCACATCAGGATTGTTGATGATTAGAACTTGCTAGATAGAGGTCGTGTGATTGGCTGCGTTATCCTCTAAACTGTTCTGCGCTTTAAGGAATGCAGCCTGCTTTTTGTCTAGTTTTACTTGCTCGGATTGTTTATTTATCGTATTTCTTTGATTGTATTTATGCGATTACAGCAGCATGCTTACAGCCATGAGAAAAGCAATAACTGCCGGCGGCGCAAGTAGTTCGGACAGCTCGTCCGGCCACACCCCATCCTTATTTCAAAGGGAAGTTTACGGGTTACTTGAACTTCCGACCATGGCTCTACCACGAATGACGGAGTGCACAGACGATTAGAGAACGGAGTCTTGCTTGGCTAAAAGTCCCTAGGAGGAAGGTGGATGCCCTAAGGACTAACCAGGAAAGTATTTCACGTCATGGAGCGCTTTTTAAAACGCTTTCTTGCATTTTATAGAGACACGCGCAGGGAGCATAAAACTGAGATCGTTTTTTTTTGAGCGGCTCTGGGAATGCCAAAAAAAACATGTGGAAACCAGGGCTTGTGGTTCGATCCCCACTGAAGACAAATTTTTGCATTTCTCTGATTTCCACTTTCTTGGGCTCATATTTGTCTAACTTATTCAGTGAACAAAAACTTTGAATATGCAACTAGTCAACGCTACAAATGCTGCAGTTTATTAAAAATGTAAATGCTTCACTTCCTAAGAAAAGTTTTCTCCTCTTTTCCTACAATCCTATTGCCGCTTAGAAAAAAGGATCATCAGTTTTATGCTCCACGCACGTACTCCTATACCATGAAACAACCTGTTTTCAAAAGGCGCCTCCCTGAAAGGCTTTTCTGGTAAGCCCTGGAGAGCGGAGGGACTCTCAGGTGGGTGAGCCATTTACAGTGTGGCAAAAGTTTGAACGTGTGAGATCACCCTGATTCGCATGGTCGTGAATTGATGGTATCGAAGCAGTATTCACAAGGTGTAGAAGAAAAGAAACTGAAGGTTCAGTGTGAATCAAAGACTTTCCGGAATTTCGGAATGTGCCCAGCATTCGACCTCCGTTTGCATTCGTAGAGACATTTGAATGCGTTTCGCTCTATACAATGACTGCAAAAGTCAACCTATGTAGAAGTCAGTATTCCATCCTTTAGGGAAAACCTGGTGCCAATCAAGTCATGAGCACTGGGCGAGAGCGCGCAGACGAAAGCACCTAGTTGAGGTCGAGTTCAAGTAGCCTGTCGACATTTAAGGGGAAGTTGTTCAGAGCTCGTTTGAACTTCATTGGCGGCTTTCTTTGTCTTTTTTCATTAATAGTCAACTCGCCATTTACAATTTCATTATCGTCCGCCTTTACCCCGCGAAGTTCGATCTAGAATTGTTGTTGCTTGCTTGTTGCTTCGAGGCTTGAAGCTAAAGTCGGTGAGTTGATAGTATCAAAGCAGTACCCATAGGGTTAGAAGAAAAGGAAATGGAGCTTTTTGGTGTGAATCGAAGACTTTTCGGGATTTCGGAATGTGCCCGGAATTCGACCTCCATTCGCAATCGTAGAGGCATTGGGATGCGTTTCGGTCTAAACAATGACTGCGAAGTCAAACTATGTATGTGAGAGCCAATGTTTTCTACTTTGAAAGCCTGGTGCTAATCAAGGGGCCCTAGAAGACTGGGATGCCTGACTCACCTGGGCGACATATGATCCGGGCTTTGCTCACGGACCGTGCGAGTGTAAGCTGCGCTATTTCCCATGGCGCTAACACCCCTCTTACATTTGCATGTATTCGCTTTAGAGCAAGGCAACTTCATCAAGGTTTCAATCAAGATTTCCGAGAACTTGTCTTGTGGGACAGCGTGATTACCATGCGAATCACGGCTGTACCACAGGGCAGGGCTTCTTGCTCCACACGGTTGAAAAACTAAAAGCGTGAGCCACAACACCATGTTCGCCTAAAATCGCCAAAAAGTGATATGATATAAAGGTTACTATTAACTATCCTTATCCTACTATATATAAGCGGCTAGCGTGTGTCTGTTGGTGTGTGTGTGTGTGTTTGACCGGAAATTCATAGCTCGAGTCACAGTAACGATAGCGCAGTGGTTCTTACATATGTTATAGGGGGTGGGATGGGGACACAAGTGGTACGTGATAGGAACTGATAACGACTGATAATAGCTGATAAGAGGGGCTAGAAAGCGAGCATCGCCAATTTCGTTTTGTCGTTCATATTGGTACTAGAGCGTCTATACTTACAAGTGTTATGTGGGGCGGTCCCGGGACATTGGTGGTACATGATTGGAAGCGATAGCAACTGATAAGGGCTGATAAGATGCGTAGAACAAAAGTCGTCGATTCCGTTACCTGGCTCGCGTTGACACCAGAGCAACCATACTTACAAGTGTTATGTGGGGTGGGACGGGGACATTGTTGGTGGGTGCCAGAAACTGATAACGATTGATAAGGGCCGATAAGGTGCGCCAGAACGCTGCAGTCGTCGATTCCGTTACAAAGCGTTGACACTGGAGCGTTCCACTACAAATTGTGTGCTTGCTTAATAGAATGCATAAACCTAAACTTCAGCAAATGATAAGGTTCATTTCTGACGCACTATCAAGAAAACCCAAACTCATTAAACCGCTAATCCTTTCGGGGTTCTAAATAATGGTGAATGTAAATAAATGATAAGCATTAGCTCCTCACTTATGTAAATAGGCATATTTCATTTTCATTTTGAGACTGACAGCAATCCTATTCACCGCTAAATTATCTTAATTCAAGAAAAATGCTGGATGTTTACAGTTGTGATCAATATACCAGTTCAGCTCCAGACGTTATCACGCGTATTCTCGATGAGCTTCAGTGAAACTGTGGAGGGTCTAACACAGTCAATAGTGAGATGGTTAATGGAGTATCTCATGCTGATATTCCATGGGTCCTCCAGTTTCGCTAAAGCCTGCCGTGTGATGCGCGCGATAGCGGGCGAAGCAAAACTGGTTATAATATATTATTGTTATATATATTAAATTATATTAATTAATGAAGAGAAATGAAGAAATCGCCAAAAAGTGATATGATATAAAAGTTACTCATTACTACTAAATATTAATATTGTTATTGTTATTGTTATTATTATTGTTATTATTATTTACATTATTATTGAAAGAGAAAACTATTACGTATCTGATTAGGCATGTGCGTTCTTGTAGGTAGTGACTTCCACCCTGATCGCACAAACATTCTTTCAAAATACTCCAAAAATTACTTCCTTAGCGGATCACTAAATTGTCCCACGGCCGTTTAGGAAACTATTAGAGTATTCAACACTAATTGCTCTTGTAGCTTGGGAACGCATCACATATGAATGGAGCCCGGCCAGGCTTGCTCGGCTGACGAGCCAAAAGCCACCCAGTGTCCAAGCAGCCGAACATCTGTTCGCCCTGCCTAACTGCCTGCGATCAATAAGCTGGACCCAGTTAGCCTTAGCGCTAGCTCCCAGCACCAGCTGTTCTAAGATCTCATAGAAATAAGTTTCCCGTGTTAGCAAGGAAACCCTGCGCCGTTTGACCTTCGGACAATATCCTCTTGCCATTTTTTCTTGCAAAGTTTTTACTCATTTTTTTCAATGTTTACAGTTTCTATTGCAAATCGTCCATCGTACTCCACGAGCGGCTTCTGAGTCCGAAATTCTTTTCTTGGAGTTGCTTGTTCCAGTCACATTCAGACTTCCATACAACATTGTTTTCCGCATCAATTTCCTGGTATTTTGTATGAATTTGTCACGTCAGGCTCAAAATGGCTCTAGTTATCCAGCCGCACCCGGGCGTCGTAAGGGGCTAATATTTTAATCTTTCTGTGAATTAGTAGCTTCCTTCATAAATTATTTGTTGTTGTCACTGCTATTTATCATCATTGCTATTACTTTTTTACTAATCGATCTCCCTCTGTTTAGACCCCTAAAAATGGAATCTAATGACTCCTAAAGGCGCTAAAGCTCACAGCATGGCAAGCGCCCCGTGCAAAAAAGCAGATTATCCGCTATGCGTTAGTGGAAGGGGAAATAGTAGCAGACCTTTCTGGAAAGGCAAAAATACCAGAACCAGTTGATATTGGGGCGAAAACGGTGTAGTGGCAAGCGGCGCTGCTCACTAAGCGTGTGGTTTGGCGATCCAATTCTATTATGATGCGCTGTCCAGGTCTACCAAGAATTCCTTACCTCGGATTGTTCTATGCACATCAACTGGCCCATGCAAGTCATTGTTGGGCCAAAATACATTCAAAATGCCAATGTGGTGAAGGCAGAATACATGGCACATCCCAGAAAGGACTAATCGGGCCTTTGCCTTTCATCGTTCATCTATTACTCCATCTCGCTTCGAAGGAAGAGACGCAGTCGCGGCGCGTGCTGTGCGATATGAGACGTAGTATGGTACACTCTATTTAACCTGACGCCTAACCGCTACAGTATGCGCTGCGACTCGTCCTTTGCCGCGTCTGCGTCTCTTCCTTCGCCGCGCGATGGGCCTCTTGGGGGACACCCCTTTCAGAGAATGTGACGTTCTGAAGAGTTCTCCAGAAAAGATGACAAAAGGGCACGCAGAAAATTGAGAGGAACAATTTCCTGTTTCACCTGCGTTCCAAATACAATTGCGGAAGGCTTGCGTGCTCCGAGGAAGTTCGGTTCCCGCGCGGACGTTTTACATCCTCGCTCAGTCTCACCCATTCACCCTCTCCCCCACCTCTTCCACCGCCTCAGATTCTTTGCCACGTTGGTCGGCTGTTAGTTTATGCTACTTCACAGACGTAGGGACAGCGTGATTCGCATGTGAGCCACAGCTAAGAGAATATATGTTGTGCGTGCGCGACTTCCTTCTGAATTTTCTCATGTTATAACAGAGCCATTTATCGCAGTTCGATATACCCTAAAAATAGAGGACAGCAGTATGCGTCGATATGCTTACGATTAGACAGTTTTTTTTTTCTTTCGAGCCTCACCAGATCCCCATCTTGATCAATTCTAAGGAATTGTGCAATCAACAGGTGAATAAAACCAATTTACTCTCTAGGATAAGACCTTTGGGGCTCTACGTTCTACTTACTCTCAAAATAGTCGTAGCACTTGACTGCGACTCAGCCTACACAATGGACAGAAATAATAGAACTCGTGGTCAGTGGCTATGTCTTTGGGCGGAAGTGGTGTAGTGGCAAGTGGCGCGCTTACCACGCGAGCGGTCCGGGGATCAAATCCTGGGTCGTGAGTCGCCCGGGCCAACCAAGCCTTCCATCCCTCCGGGGTCGGTTAATTGGTACCAGACTTGTCTGGGAGGATAAAAACACTGACTTGTACATCGGCTGGCCCCGCAAGTCATTGTATAGGCCACATCGCATTCAAACGCCACTACGCGAATGTACAAATGGAAGTAGAATGCGTGCCGCATCCCAAAAAGGGATTGATCAACGGCAAATGCTTTATCCTTTTTTATCCTTTATGAACAAACAACTTCACTAAAGTTTTGTTCCAGTCCACGTTTTCGAAAAAGACGCCTCGTAGGACAGCGTGATCCGTATAAGAGTCACAGCGGGCCGCCCAAAAAGATTCAAAAAAGCACAAACGTGGGCTGTCGTCAACGTGTTTGATATGTATGGTTGTTGATTCATTTTTTTACGTTTCACCATCTTACTTACGTGTCAGTGAATACGCGATAGTTTCTCGTGTTCAGCAACTTCACAATCATTCACAAGTCTGCTCGGCCACCGTATTTTTTGTGTGCAATCCGTTTCTTTATGGATTCTCGTTCTTTTGCTTTTATTACTGGGAATGTTCAATCTCAGATGCTCCGGCCACCCAATTCACTGTCCGGTATGCTTCATCGCCTGGCCGTTTGGCTCATGCTGGCATTCTTGTGC